GCATCATCAGGAGAAGAGGGTGGCAGCTTGGCAGAGTTTACAGTCGGTGGGGTTGCCCAGGAGGCAGCAGGGTCGCTAGCAGTGTCAGTGGAGGGGCAAACGGCCACGGAGTAGAGCACCAGCTCCACTGCCGTGCCTACCACCACGGTTCTTTTCAGTAGTGGTGCCGGTTCTGTGCACGCAGGAAGTAGCAGTCAGCCAGTGAGGAGTAGCGGGGGCAAATGTTCCTACTCGGCGGTGTGAGACACATTTTTTCTCGTCAAGCCGCTTCCTGACGGTCTCCGGAAGTTTCGTAGGCCGTGATTGTCGACTATGTGGCCAGAAAGTCAAGCGTGGCCAGGGGGCCCATGTTCTGGGACTACAGCGTTGCGGACAGCATATTGCAGCGTCGCCATTTGGTGGCCTGGGAAAAACCGTGATAAAGATACGGCGGTTTGCTGCCTGTCCCAGCCCCCGCTCCATCTCACCCGCTCCGTTACTTGCTCCGTCACCCCGACCGTCAATCGCCCTCCCATCAGCCAGTCAAGGCCTCCAACACATCCTCTGCTGAGGGGAGTTGTCGTCGTTGGCATCTTCCGCTCGTTCAGATGCTCCTTCTCACTGCTACTCCTCTTCACGGATTCCGTCAGCAGTTTTCTTGGAATCCGTTTTCCAAGAGACAACAGTTTTGCGAGCACGCACCCTCGACCGGTGCCAAAGCTGAACGTCCTCCTGTCCAAGTTGCTGGTGCTGCAGTCCCTCCCTTTCCAAGTGGTGGACACTTCTTTAGCACCTTTCCGACGAAATGATGGCTTGTGCCGCAAGCCCACGGTGAGAGTGCCAAGCCGTCATTTCTTCGTCAAAAAGGCAGTGCCAGCCCTGCATTCCACTATGTAGAAAGAGATGGTGGGCCAGTCTTTGAGCATGTCGGTCTCTGCAAAGTGCACGGCAGCGCCGACGTGTGGAGCTGTAACTACGGTCAGGGACAGTACATGTCATTTACGGCCCACTGGGTGAACGTGGTGCCGTCACAGCCGCACCAGCAACTTGGACAGGTCACGCCGCTTTTGCCTCCACGTTTGCACGTCCTTGGTCCACAAAGATGTCCGACCTCTACCACCTCTTCTTCCGCCGTTGTCCTCAGCCGCCACCCCCGTGCCAAGTCCCATTACCCGACCCGGTCATATCACATGTGCAGGGCGCAACGGTGTCACGCTGTGCTGCACCTGGTATGCCTTGGCGAACGTAGTCTCACACAGGGGAGGAACCTTGCTCGGTGTAATGAACAGAGAAATACGACAGATGGCTGTCTCCGCGCAAAACTGAAAATCGGAACCATGTTGACCGACAACGGAAAGAACATGGTGTCTGCTCTGCGTCAAGGAAGGTTGTGCCATGCGCCATCGCATGGCTCACGTGGTTCATCTGGTTGTCAAGGGGGTTTCCTAAATCCATCCACCATCCACTGCAAGACATCCTTAATGGGATATGGAAGGGGCGGGGGTGGGGCGGGGCGTTTGGAGGGTGAGACGGTGGGGGGGCCATTTTGAGGGTGGATGAGCAAGGGGGGGGGGGGGGGGTGTCAGACGTATTAATTTTTTAGTTTTCCCATTTTTTTTATTGTCTCATACCTTCAAGCTCAAGTATTGTATTTATTCTTTTGAAAACGTTTCAACTGTTATTTTTTCGCCTTTTCTCGTGGTTTTTTTGCCTCTTGTTTCAAGAACTTTTTCATGGACTCTTTGCCTTGGGTGTTGTGTTTGTTCTCTGAGGCCCCCTGTATCTGTTTTTGATACCATCGCCTGGGCTGACTTCTTGCTAATTATTCCTTTTGCTTGACCCTTTTTATCTGTGGAAGTGCTGCTTCGACACCTCCAATTTGCACTCATCCTTTGGCTGCTTGACTCCCTGTTCTTGCGACTCCCCATGTATTGTTGTTACCATCTGTCACTTTTTTACTGTTTATTGTACTACGCTGCTTGCTGCTGAACCTTTTGCCTGTGACTTTTTATCCATGTCTACGCTATGGTTTCAAGAAGTCACTCATTGATGCCTACTACTACTGACCCTTTTATATTGCACCGGCCTTTTTTTTTTCGGCCTGCCTGAAATCGCTTGCTTTTTGTAAGTTACTGTTGATCTAGTCAGGTGTGGTTGGTTTTTTTTTGGTTTAGTTTTTTTGCAGTCTGTGATATTATGTTTAGTATTGCCCTGCGTTTATTTTTTTTTTTTGTCTTAATGTTTTATTTTGTTTTTTTGATTCGGGAATTTTCGTGTAAATTGTTTATATAGTTTTCCCTTGCATGTGTTGTTTAAAGTTTTACTTCTTGTGTGGTTTTTCAGAACTCTGGGAGCCCTGACATTTACAAACCAAGTCTGGGTCTTCGAATTTTTTTCCTTGACTTTTCTAATTGTCTGCACAAGGGAAGCGACCAAATCTTGGCTCTCGATGATGTTTTATTAGTTTGGATCTTATTGATTGTTGTTTATTTTTTTTTAATTGTTTCATTTTTTTATATTTGCGAGAGACTTTGTGTTTTATGTTTTTATCAAACTGGGAGGGGGACGGGGGTGGGGAGGGGAGACCCGGGCGGCGGTGGCGGGGGGGGTGTGTATAACAATAGCGGGGGGGGATTGTTCGCGGGAGGAGCGGGCGCACGGGAGGGAGCGGGGGGGGTTGCATGGGTGGGGGGTGAAGCGTGTGGGGGCGGATGTTTGGTTTTCATACCTGGCTTTTTATTTTTCTTTTTTATTCTTTTTTTTTTGTTTTTTGCCACCATTTTTAGGTTTATATAGTAGTTTTATCAGGCTATACTTTTCCCTATCCTGGTCTATTACATTGTTAAGGTGGGTTACCTTCATATTCTATCAAGAGTCCGCCCCCACCCCCCCCTCCCTCTCACTAGATTCTCAAGATGATCTATATGTATTCATGTACTTGTAGTGCTCTGTTATTTAGATCGCAAGACCCCTACCCTAATGTGTAATGCAGCTTCACTCTGATCAAACCCTCCCACTGGCAGAGATGAGATCTTAGCTGTGCCTCTCTTTAGTGATTTTTCGCTCGCACCTTTCTATTCTCCCAGTCATGTATTATATTTAGACCCATTTCCTAGATTTTCTATACCCTACTCCTGTACCCCAAACCGCCCAGTCCTCCTGCCCATGCTAGACATAACCCCCCTAATGTTACTGTACCCTTATTTCTAACTTTCCACGCCCCCCTCGCCCGCCGCCACCCCCCCCCGCTTTTTGAGTATCTTTGTAAAAGTCTGTGTGTTGCAACAGCCCCCCGCGCCGCCATTTTTAGATGTCCCTTGACCTTTTGTATGTTTTCTTCGCAATCTACGCGATTATAACCTGTTTGCTGACCTGAGTTGTATTGTCACTTGCAGTGCCTTTCTTTGTAGCTCTAGAGATGACATAGTACAGCACCAACTTTGTCTGTGTCCAATGAGAATACACCAATCACTCCACTGTGCGTGCAGGACCGATTGGATTTTTTTGTTTTTTTTATTTGACTTTCTGCTTTATTTCTATGAGCTTTTCATACTCCAGGTTGAAGCATTTTGACTTCATTCTTTATGCCTCTATCATCAGCCGTATGAGTCAACCACTTTTTTTACTTCACTCTTTTGTTTATTCTCGTGATTTTTTTTGTTTCACCTAGAAGCTTTTCCTTATGTTCGGTTAGCTTCTATTTTTTCTTTTTCTATTTTGCAATCTACTCTTTTTTTTCTTGTTTTTTGCTTAACATGCTATCGAAGCCTGATCCATCCCAGCCTGATGCCTGTTACAGGCCAGCCTGATGCCTGTCTTCAGCCTGATGCCCGTCTTTCAGCCTGATGCCTCGTCTTCAGCCTGATCCAGTGCTCCCTCTCTTCAGCCTGATGCATCTGTCTTCAGCGCCTGAGCTGGTCATACTCTGGTGACAGCCTCCGATTGCCCACTCTCTAGCCTGCCTTGCCAGATGACTTCAGTGCCCTTGGCATTGCCAAATGACCTCAGTCCTTGATGACCTCAGTGCCTCAGTCCTGTCATGCCTCTCCTCAGCTGATGGCGCCTCTCCTCGAGGCCTGATGATCTCACTCAGCCTGATGACCCGTTGCCCACTACCTTGCCATGAGGAAACTCGATCCGCCTGAGTGAATCAAGCTATTGACCTGAAAGCCAGGTTGACTCGATGCACCGTCTGTTGATACCAGATGTTCCGGGTACCTGATGCCCGCGGTTGAGCCCAGACTGTCCGTTGACAATTGATCTCAGGTGCTTCCGCTGTCCGTACCTCGGTGACTCTGGATGCCCACTGCTCTTGCCAGATGACGCAGTGCCCGCTGTCGAGCCAAGCTCAAAAGACCTGATGCCTGGGTGACCCAGTGCCCCGCTGTCCAGTACTGGTGGACCCGATTGCTGAACCGCATGTCGAGCCAGACGATCATCCAATGCCTGGTTGACTCCGGTGCCCCACTGCCTTGCCAGAGATGACCGCTGGTGTCTCCGCCGGCAAGCTCAATATGACCCTGATGCTCTGGTGACCCCAGTGGCCACTGTCCGGCTGTACCATACAATGTCTGACCCCATGACCTGCGTTCCATACCAGTTGACTCGGAGCCCCGATTGTCGTAGCCAGATTGACTCGGTAGAGCCCGCTGTTGAGCCAATAATGTCCTGGATGTCCTCGGTGACTCCGATGCCGCTAGTTCCAGCCAGACGACTCTAATGTTCTGACCTCATGCCCGCGATCATACCAGTTGACTCGGAGCCCACTGCCTTGCCAGATGACACGCGGTGACCAGATGTCGAGCCAAATGACCTATGCCTGGTGACCCATTGCCCGCTGACCAGCCAGACCATCCAATGTCTGACCCCATGTGCCTTGCTGGACATACCAGTTTGACTCCGGAGGCCCACTTGTCCGGTGCCTGGTGACCCTCGGTGCCCGCACGGCTCCTCCCGCTGGGGGCCCGAGAACTCTGTTGCTCCGCATGGTGGGTCCAGCGCCCCCCGCAACGCTCTGCCTGGGAATCCGGCGCCCGCCGCCGCCCCCGCCTGGTGGCCTTGAGACCTTCTGTCGCTTCCGCTGTAGGGGCCCGAGACCTTTCGCTCCACCTGGGGGTCCCGCGCCCGCCGCTTTATTCCGCTGAGGGCCCTGAGACCTTTCGCTCCACTTGGGGTCCGGCGCCCCGCCGCTCCGCCTGAGGGCCTAGACCTGTCGCTCCTTCCGGGGGTCCGGCGCCCCCGCCGCTCCGCCTAGGCCCGAGAACCTGTCCGATCCGCCTGGGGGTCCGGCGCCCCAGACGCTACCCCGCCTAGGCCCGAGACCTGTCGCTTAACTCCACATGGGTGTCCGCTCCCCCGCCCGCCTGAGGGCCCGAGACCTGTCGCTCCGCCTGGGGGTCCAGGCGCCCGCCGCTACACGCCTGAGGCCCGAGACCTGTCGCTCCGCCTGGGGTCCGCGCCCGCCGCCCCCGCCGGGGGCACGATGCCTGTCGCCCCCGCCTGGGGGCACGATCTGTCGCCCCGCCTGGGGGCACGATGCCTGTCCCCGCCCCGCCGAGGGGCCCGGTGCCTGCTGCCTGCATACCGCCCGGGGCCCGTGCCTTGGCGCCCCCGCCCGTGGTCCCGTCCTGTCGCCCTGCCCCGGGGCCCGGTGCCTCGCTCCGCCTGGTAATCCATGTGCCTCTCCCGGAAAGTCCTGCCCGATGTGCCTCTGCCCCGAAAGCCCCTGCCCCGATGTGCCTCTCTGCCCGGAGGTCCTGCCCGACTGTGCCTTCTGCCCGGATGTCCTCTGCCCGGAGCCTCAGCCCGATGTGACCCTGCCCGTTGCCTCTGCCCGGAGTCACCCCCCTGCCCGATGTGCCTCTGCCCGATGTGCCCCTCTGCCCGGTGTCCTCGCCCAATGGGCCTCTTCTGCCCGGAGCCTCACAGCCCAGGTGCGCCGCTGCCCTGAGTCCAGCCCGACTGTGCAGCGGCCCGAGGCCTGCACGAATGTGTCTCTGCCCGGCCGCTGCCCGGAAAGTGCCTTTGCCAGTATCCAGTCTTTGAGACCCGCCAGTTACCAGACCCGGCGGTGGAACATTTTTTGCCCAAGCGAGGACGTGTTTTGAAGCGATCCTGGAAGGCCCCGCTCCGTGAGGGGGGGGGTACTGTCAGGTATGGACAGGCAGCCAAATAGGTGGGACTCACCTGGCCTTATAGATCTGCAGTACCAAGGGCTGGCCACGTGTGCTCCCAGCAATCAGAGACGCCAACCTTGCAGCCGTCAAACAAAACAACACCTGGAAACTGAAATTATGACTGGTGGTATTTAAGACATGGCCAGACCTGCAGACACTGCTGCTTGGTGGTTGTGTTGTCTCTGGGCCCCTGTATCCGTTCCTGCTCCTGTTTCTGATTCCTTTGCTGACCCTGATCTGAACTGCTTGCTGGACATTCTCCTGCTCTGATCCCTGGCTGGTGCACCACTGACCACCTCTCCTCTGCCTGACCCTCTGTACCACAGCTGCTTTGCTACCCTGCTGAACCTGCCTGGGGACCACCAGACCATTCTCTGCTTTCTCCCCCCCGTACCTACCTGCCCAATGGATATTGACCCGGCCTAGCCTGACGACGCTTGCTTGTATGTAACTGTATCCTGTAGGTGGTTTGGTTTGTTTGTTTGAACTGTAATTATGTTTATAGTGCCCTGCGCTTTATGTTTGTAAGGTTAGTGTTAATAAATATATTGTTTTATCACATTTCTGAAGCGTTGCGTTCCCTGCATCATTCCACTCACCACTGGGTCAACCTGGGAGCCCTGACAACAATGTCTGCCTACATTGGCATGCTTGTATCTCCTGTGTTAGATTTGGCACCACACATCCACCAGCCCGTTTTCTTGACTGACAGAAACCCCCACGGGAATCCACTGCCCAAACATCAATAGAATCAGCATCATCCTCCTTGAGCATAGCATACACCAAGGGACATACTTTAAAAAAAAAAAATAAAAGTGCAATGCAAACACAAAAACAAAAGTACTATTTTAAAAAAATAAAGAAAAATCAAAAATTTATCATAAAAAATGCACGTGCAAATACAGTATTTAAAAAAAAATGTAACACAGTATTCCCTCCGGGGAAAAATCAAAAATGACCAATGATCAATTATATTCAATAAATGGCAAAACCGGAAAATTTCCCCGAAAGGGGAAAATTCAAAGTGACCAAGTGACCAAACAAACAATATCACAAAACCTAATATAGATCTCCACCTTGTGAACATGTCCATATATTAAAATTGTCTAATACACAATCTTCATCAGGTATTCAATGTCCACAAAGGTATATCCAAAAATAGCTGCAATGGCCCCTCACCTCCTTTCATAACCCCGCGGGTCCACCCCTTTAGGGAACAACCCACTCGGGTATCACAGGGTCCTCCCCCGCGATGTTACCATACCCTTTCCCCTTTGGGGTTTCCCCTTACAAAAATCCTACAGGGGAACTTCCTTTAAAAAACAGACACCACCAGTGTAAAACGATCCTCCCCACCTGTTATACTCTATACCAACTTCCTCTCTGTTTTATGCATAAACAAAACTCTCATATGAAAACCCATTTATTATATCAAACCGTACACAGAGATAACTACCCACAAGATTGGTTCATCTTTCATGTTAACAAAATGCTCCCCACCCCATCTAGCCTGCCTTTCATGGGGATAGATATAGGGGGTTTCAAAATGGCCGCCACACCGGAAATATGTCACCGGCTCCCAGAACCTCCTCCAGTACCACGCTTGCTCACCTGATCACGTGACCCCGAGGGGAAAAATTTACCCCGGACCAACGCTCGGGACCGAGGGGGATTCTGGGGGCGCGGGGATGTAAATTTTCCGGGGTGGCGGGCCCAATTTAAACCCCCATATCTAATACCCATGCAAGGCAGGCAAGCATGAGGTAAGGAGCCATATTTAACATGAAAGATGAACAACATTGAGAGTTACTCGTGTACGGTCGATATAAAAAAGCGGTTTTAAAACAAGAGTCTTTTGTTTATGCATGAAAAAGAAGGGAAAGTGAATAAAGTAAACAGCGCTGGGGGATCCTGTGATACACCTGAGTGGTGTCTGTCTCTTAAGGCGAGTTGCCCTGTAGGGTCTTTGTAATAGGAACCAAAGAAAGCTGGGTATAGATAACATCGCTGGGAGATCCTGTGATACACTAGGTGGTTCTGTTTCCTAAAACAGTTTACCTCAGGGTCTATGTAAGGAGGGAGGGGGGCCCTTGCAGCTATTTTTGGGTAACACAGTTGGGGCACTTTACATCACCTGCATGAAGATTGTGTATTAAACTTATATATAAGGACTGTTCACATAGAGTGGAGAAA